GGGGCTCAGCCCCCTTGCCCTCATAAGAATAGTTCGGGGATATAACGCCAGCCAGGCGCTCGTCACGAAGGCATCACGTGCGTCCATGTTAGGTGCAAGCCACGGAGCAGCAAGGCACAGTCTTGTCGCACGTAGAGATTTTAGACAAGAACAATTAGTTTCGGGAGCGCGCTTTTTTTTTCTTTTTTTTTTTTTTTAATCCAATGTCCGTCGTCCATCAGCACGGCGGCTACGAGGGTTTAGAGCAAGCTGGACCCGATCTGCTCGTGGCAAGGCCGGGGAGTGGCGCGCGGGGGCCAACTGGGGCTTAGTATGGGGGCCTCTAGAGCCCGGGGATTATAGTTTTGTTGGTGTTGCTGTTGTCGTAGCGTGGGGGATACTGCGACGAGACATGTGTGGCGCCAGATTGTCGCCTCGGACCGGACGCTTTCTGTCATATTTGGCGAGCTTTGACGGTTGTTTTCGTTTAGGAAGGTCTCAAGATGTCCTTGCCGGCGACTGGTCCGGTCGAGAGCACGTGATGATCTTCAGGTTTGAAATTATTGGCTCTTCCTTCGAGAGCGAGGGAAAGTTAGAGTTGTGATGCGAAAAGCGAGAAATGAAATTAGCGGAGTTCGTCTTAAGGCCCGTTCACACTCTTGCGACCGAGTTCGACCGAGAGAGACCAGACCGGTTTTTAAGCCTTTTGCGACTTCTTAGGACCGGCTGCGATGGAGCGGAGCTGGTCCTAAGAAGTCGCAAGACGCTTAAAAACCGGTCTGGTCTCTCTCGGTCGTACTCGGTTGCAAGAGTGTGAACGGGCCTTTAGACTCGGAACCAGAGAGGTGGTCGTCCAAGCTGAATGCGTTTAGATAAACGTTGAAGTTTACGAGAAGCAGCGAGTCAGAGCATCATTCAACAACGTGCCCGCCACCAAGCTCCAAGATCATCGGGGCTCATCCTACCCTCCCAACGACATCGGGAGGGTCCAACCCGTCAGAGGCGTATGCAGTCAGCGTCAGTCAGTGTCTCTTCGACTCCAGCATTACATGCAATGTCTGGCCATCCAAAGAAGATCACCAGCTTCTTCCTACCAGCCCCAAAGCGTACATGCCTAGGAAGCGGAGATTCTCAAGGTAAGATATTCCGCAGTTCTTCTCAGCTCATCATGAGTTCCGTTTGTGTAAATGCGTCAATTCAATCACACTGCTTGTTTCCTCGCTTTCCTATCGCTACCAGATGCCTGTTCTGAAAGGCATCTGGTAGCGATCCTTTTTGGCGCCCCTGTATATATAAACAGAGAAAATACCATCTTGCCATAATATGAATTTGTAGACCATCAATAAAGAAGTGATCTCTGAAAACTTATTATGTACAGTTCCTTCTTGATGATATACAGTATTTAGCAATTAGGAGCACTGCGTAAGAAAATTGTTTTCTCATGCAGAAAATAGAAACCGCACAGGACCTAGTGAAAGGAACAAAAACGAACCCGCTAGGATAGTGTTTTCTCTCAAACGAAACTCAGATCGTAATATTTAAATTATTTTTAGTAAAAAAAAAAAAATAGTACATCATACAAAAAACGACAAAAAAGAACATGGCTTTAGCCCCCCCACTCACGATATACTTCCGGCGTCCCTGCTGGCGGCTGTTCCGATGTTCGCGGTAGCAGATGGAGCTGACGGTTTTGTGGACCTAGGATAGATGGCGCCACTAAAACTCCGTATAATAAAAGTTTTCTCGATGATACCAGATTTTTGATGGATTTATATTTATGTTGAAACGACAAGATTTATAGAAAGGTTACCTTTTATCGAGCAGGTATTCGCACAACTCGCTATCTTTCTACATGACCCCCATTGACGTCATGCCGCTTGTTTCTCATGGCCGCCGCTCGCGGCTGCAGGTCGAAAAATATTCTAATTTTTGCCTCGCTATTACGCGGCGGAATCGCAACATTTCGATGAAAGGAGGTGTGTTTTCTGTCATTTGTGACAAGGTGAACAATGTCAAAAGTAGAAGATGCCAATTCTTTCAACGTTAAAATCGTTGCACAGCTCCTTTAAATTTAATTTTAAGATGTCAGACTATGGGAGCAAACTGTCTTTGTAAAAGTATTTGAAGATAATCAAATACTCTCGTTGAACTTGTATCTTGTTTTTAAATAATTTTCTAAAAAGTGTAATTGGATTTGTAATTGAATACATTTTGTCAAAGTATTTTGTATTTCGATACATTTTTGGAAATATTTTGCCCTCCCTGCAAATAAACTACATACATGCTCTAAATTCTTGCAACGTATGCAGCTTATTGAGATGGGGCAATAATCCTATACATTGTCTGTTGATCAACGGTTATGGATTGGCGTAACACGCGTCATCTTCCACTGACCCGGAAGTAAGTTTTGTTCTAATGATTTACAAAATTAATCTTTAAATAGCGGAAGACAACGAGCACAATTTTAAAACTCTAGGTGACAAACCATTGGAACCTACAGCCTTTTTAACATCAAGCTCATCTAAGCAACTTCTTTGTCCCCTACACTAAAAAAAAAAAAAAAAAAAGAATATTGATGCGATTAATCAGGAATTCAGAGATCCAGTTAACAACAGAGAGGTGAATATTGAGACTTCTACGTTTCAGCAAAAGAGGTTCATGAGAAACCTTGTCGAATGCCAAATGAATGAAAATAGCGCCAGTTTGAAGCTTGTGAGGACATCAAAGCGGTGTTTGGCGGTTTCAGTCCCTCGGTGGACCACGGAAAAAGATTCTGCAAGATCCTTAGGTGTGAATGGTATAGACAAGCTCGCCATTAACTTCCGTGGCTGAAAGCATTCTGAAAAATACAAAGCGAGGTGGTGACGCTGATAGATAGTAAAATGACAAACGAACAAAAAAGTGGTAATCATGCCCTATGTTCACAACGTATCCCAAGCGCTAAAAGGATCAGAAACAAAGAAAATCTGTGGTCAATAAGGTTTAATGTACTATCAAAAACAATATGAGCGTGAGGCGCGTTCACGCTGATATTGTTTCCGATATTACCATAGGTTAAGGTTATCAGGTATAATGCGGTTAATAAGGTTATCAGATATAAAGTAAGGCTTAACTATAGATAAATCAGTGTATCTTTGTATAGCATCCAGGTTTCATCGACAGTACTTGAATCGAAGTCATATGAAAGTATATGATAAAAATCCTCGACGTTAAAGTTGATAGCTGCATAGTCAGCCCTCGCATAATCGCGAATGAATTCACAATAATGTGACTTACGAGCAATGGATAGTGACAGTGTCATCTCAATGACAAAGTGTTCACTTATGCCAGGTAAGTACGTGATGTGTTACTGAATAGTGAAGGGTCTTGACTTGAACACAGATCGAGAACACTGCTGCAGCGATTAGTAATCCTATGTCGGTTAAGTAGTTACATTTGCCAAATTAAAATCTAAGCAAAAATCAATAAAACTCTTAATTGAGTAGAAGGACAAAGAAGAAAGGGTAGACTGCAGGTCAGTGCTCGGGTAATTGAAATCGCCAGAACGAATAAGGCGTTAGGGTAGTCTTTATAGTTAAAAAAGACCGTTATAGAGCTCTATAAAAAATTCCTCATTGCTGTCTGGTGGTCTGTAAAGGCGCGTTCACACCGGCGTAGCGATCTAGTCGCGCAATAACTTTCATCGCAAAAGCGACCATCGCGGGCAAAAAGTGACGCGATTTGAGCTTGCTGAGCCGACTTTTTGCGATGCGATCTAATCGCGGAGCGGCTGTGCCAATCAACGGCGTTCCGAGCGAAAGTTTTCGAGAACGACTCGCTCATCGCGCACGCCAGTGTGACCAGCTAACTTTTTTTGCGATCTAGTCGCATCGCGGGGCTACTTTACATCGCCGGTGTGAACGCGCCTTAACGCACACCAATTGCAACGGAAGGTATTGTAGCAAGGTACACCCAAACAACTTCCAGGTAGGAAAGAATCGGTATATACCGGGATGAAATTTGATTATTTACTTCAAAAAGGACGTCACCTCCCTTTCTAACATTTCTATCGTGTCTATAATAAGTACATGATAAACGCCAACTCGTGGTAGTTCCTTATGGATTTGCAGGTAGAATTATAAGTGATCGCCAAATTACCTGCGGGCTTTTATGTTTCAACGCGTAGCAGTATCAGGGGTGTTCCTCGCACATCTTACAAAGTACAAGCAGAGCTATCGAACGCAAAAGCGGGAAAACGTAGCTCTGTCAAATGTATCTGTTTCGCACGAGCACTTGCGCAAGAAAAGCACTCTCCAAAACAAACACGGTTGCACCCATCTCACAAAGGTGCGCAGAACCCTTACGCCGAGGCATAAAAAGGCTTCACAATCGGCAGTTGAACAGGTCACGAAAAGTAAGTCGGAACTTGGAAGGCAATGCATTCTTTCCGGAGAAGTAAGCTTTTCTACACGTGCGGACTGTCCGTCTACATCGGGGCGAACTAAACAAGTCCATCAAAGCGTAGTTCTTAACGAAAAGTAACTTCCGGGTATTTGTCCTCACCTAGCCCACCCATACCGGCATTCTGGGCGGAAACGTACCGTGTCTTCCACGAAGCTAAACACTCCCAGCCAGAGTCAGACGAGAGTCGATCCAGAGCCAACCACTGAGCCACAGCGAGAACAGAGACAAAAATTGCGAGGAACGCACTCACATATAGTATACACCACCCTTCTCTTCCTCCGAACCCATGAGCAAAACCCCGAGTTCCGTGGCCTCGATCTCCAACTCGCCCCTCCTCGCCCAGAAACCACACTCTTGCTCCCTTCCCAAAATAGTGTCCTAGCCAGTTCGGCACCGCCTCCGACGCAAGAAAAATCGCCCCCTCCCATCTCCTCAGACACCGTCACCGGCTCCTCGCTAAAAACGCGGGCAGCAGACCAAACGCCGGTCCGGCCGTTCCGGGAGACTGCCGCATAGCTGAAGACGCCAGACAGACCACAAGACAGCCACCAAGCACCGTGACAATCCGTACGAGGACCATGCGGCTCTTCGTCGTTCATTTCACGATCTGGGTCACAGCGCTGCAGGTCGAGTCTGCGGCAGTGTGGTGGAAGCTCCGACAAGATCGTCTGCAGGCGGGCCTGTGTCCCGACTCCACCGACGACCTGTGCTCCAGTGGCAAGCCCGAGACCTCCCGGCAGTCCTGCAAATGCGACTACGCCTGCGCTCACTACGGAGACTGTTGCGTGGATGCGCCAAGAAGTCCGACACGTGGCGAGCCCGCCGGGTCCGCGGCGTGGGTCTGCCATCGGAGCGGGTTCTTCGCGCTGCGGTCCTGTCCGGCACGGTGGCCCCCAGATGACCCAGTTCGACGCCTTTGCGAGGGCTGGGAGGACGCCCCGATACGGACCTACCTGACGGACGTGCCTTCCTTCTCCGCCGACTCGGAACGGATGTACTGGAACATGTTCTGTGCTGCGTGCCACGGAGATGCTATGAGGCTTACCTCATGGCCTGCGAGTTTGGACTGCGACTCGGCGCCGCTGGGCGGTCGTGGACCGGGACCCGTGGCCATATTCGACGAACACTCGCTGCGGCAGCTTGTCAGACTCGGGAACCTGACATACACAGGGAGTGGCCGGTTCTTCGTGACGGACAGGTACGAACGCCACGCCTGTGTACTTCATCTTCAGCCGGTGGGATGGAAGAACTTCACCCAGGCTCATCTGCTGCGGTCGTGCGCGGCCGGCGCCGAAGCGACGCCGAGGTGCAGGTACGGACCGCACGAGTTGGCGTCTAAGTGCGCGGCTTACACGGCCTACGTGCACGACCGGGTGGCTCAGAGGAACTACAGAAACTATCACTGCGCCATCTGCGACGTACGACAGAGGCAACGGCTAGCTTGCGGCGCTTATGTGGACGTGCAGCGCGTTGAAGGAAAGCTCGTGTCCTACGGTTGGACGCTCAATTTTCCTGTCTGGAGGCCCTCCGCGGACCCGTCGGGCGAGTGCGGCAGCGACGACCGCATGCGGGATGACTTGACCGGAGACTGCGTCCCGACAGGATGCGCTCCTGGTCTGGTGCCGACTCCTGGAGGTCGCTGCGTCAGTCCGGACAACGAGATTCTCGACCCCTTCGAGAAACCGGTGCCAAACTGCCCCCTCATCAAGTTCGACTCGGAATTCCTGGCGCTACTTCGGAACGGTTCGCTCCTCCTCAACATCAGCGGACGTGGACAGGTCTACGCTCTGGACCAGTTTCGTCTGGTAGCTCAGATGAACGAACAGAACAGGACAGTCGGATGGTACGCTGTGGCTTGCTCCGGACACCGGATACCCTTCATCTGGGAACCTACGTTGCTGCTGGTCTCAAGATTGTGCCTCGGCATTTCGGCGGTCTGCCTGGCCGTCCTTCTAGCGACCAGACTCTTCGAACTGCACTCACGAAGACACAAGATGGCGGCCTGCCTCGCCGCGTGCGCCCTGCTGTCTCAGGTGCTGCTTCTGGTGGAACCACACGTGACACCATTTGGTCGCGGCTGCGCCGTTCTTGGTCTGGCGGCTCACTATTGGCATCTAGCCTGCCTCGCGTGGACAGGCGCAATGGCCGGCGACGCGTACCGCGCCCTCCATGCCCTCCGAAACACGCGACCGGACGGCCGCTCCATCCGCCAGATAGGCCTACTTTGCTGGCTCGCCCCCGGCGCCATAGTTGCCGGAGCCGGCGCTCTGGACCGATTGCAGCCCGATTCGACGGTACGACCCCTGTACGGCGAACCGATGTGCTTTCTCAACGGTACCCTAGGAGCCGCGCTGTTCCTCGTATCTCCGGCGGCTGCCGTACTCGTAGGGGCCGCCACGTTGTTAGGCCTAGTGGCGCCGCGGCTCTGCGGTCCGCCGCCGCAGACGAAGCCGGCTAGGGCCGAGTTCCGAGCGGATCGAGTTCGTTTCATCACCATTGCTACATTGGTGTCTTTAGCGCTGCTTACGTGGATGGCAGCCGTTCTTGCCGTGGGGCTTCAGGTACCGGCCTTGTGGTACGGTTTCACGACGGGCCTGGCAGCGCAGGGGGTGTTCGCGTTGGTGGCTTTCGCTCCTCTAGGTCGGCTGGCTGCGAGATTACGCGGGACGCGTTCTGCAGGTGTCCTGGTCGCGAGTGCTTCGAGTGGACACCTCCCGGACGCTGTGGCGGCTTCGACAGTGGATGCTGGTCCCTACCGAAAGCACCTGGCACAGCTGCAAGAATCACCGACCAGGAGGAAATCCAGCTGCAAGCCTAACCTCGAGCGTCGATTCAGCAACAAGCGACCTCTGGTCATCGAAGACGAGATAGACAACGCCTAAAAACCTCTTGGACGAAAGCCAGACCTCGTTTTTGTAACGTCACGCTGTGCACAACAGCGCAAAACAGCAGGATTGACATTCATCTGGGCAGTTTCCGCACACGATCAGAACGGCGCCGCGATATTTTCCCGCCATAATTGCGGTCTTTGTGGCGTCACGACCCGAGTCATGGTTGCGCACTGCGCATGCGTAGCATATTCATTAAGCTTATCTTGATCGTGTACCGGTGATTAGCAAGACAGGCTGATGCGGCGGACAGACATGTGAGGTACATACTGACGTGGAGCGCAGGCTCATAGATTGCTGTGAAGTGCATACTGCCGTGGAGCCCTAAAGCGAAATAGCAGACGTCTTCGAACAACGTGGGGCTTGCATGGTTTCTTCAATAAAGCGTGAGTGTGACGCCGCCACGCCCGGTCCAAGCGAGACTGCGACAAGTGGAGGCATACTGTGAGACTATACAAACATTTTGCAGGAATGACATGCGACGCGCAGGAGGACCTGATATGTGAACGCTTGCCGACCAATGCTACATGTCGTGGGCATGTTCTTTGTATTGTCTGTATAATATTTCAAGAATTAATTGATCTTGTGTCGTTAGCGCGCGAAAAAGCAAACCTATACATAAACAAACAAAAAAAACGGTGCCAATTTTTTTTTTTTTTTTTGTTACATTACGAGAAAGCATGATTAAGTTTAGTGCACGAAAGCGAGACTACTCTTTTCAGGTGCTATTTTTCTCGTGAGCGATCCTTGACACGATAGTCGAGCTCTTCTCTTTCAAAAAGTCGTCTGATAACGAATTCCCTTTGTAAGTCAGCACAACATTACTGCATGTTCATTGAGCTGCCCCCCGTGCTTTTGCCGGACGACCATACGAGGTCATTCCTATTAGAAATCTAGACAGCCATTCCTTTCTTGCAAGCAGATGACTTATCATCGTCTTGGTCAGCGTTGCTGCCAGCTCTTCGACGGATTTTTTTAGGGGGGGGGGGGGGGGAGACAGTTTAGTAGGGCACGTTGTTGGGCTAGTTGGTTCATCTTAGCCCTGTATACTTCTTGTCCTTGTCTTTTTTGCACTATTTTATATGTTTAACTTCCAAGGGGTCTGTGCATTTGTGGCTCGGCCTAACTTCAGCTTGGCCACGACGCGTAGTACTGAGAGCTGAACAAGGTGTATTCGCCATGTACGGAAAGTTCGTTTTATAAATAGCTAACAAGAAGCCCATCGCGTAATGGTGCCCGCTTGGAAGTATAATATGCAGCTAAAGCAACTGGTAATTCCAGAAGCTAACCCACTCACGAGCTAGGCTTAGATCGTTCCGAAAACCATACCCAATTCTCCGGCGACGCCTTTGCGCATTATTGTATCGTTATCAGAGGTGTCGGAACGATCGACTAAAACTAACAGAGTTTTGGTAGATAGTTCCGATAACGATACCAGATAACGATATATTCCACCGGAATACTCATATTCCACCGGCGCGAAGGTGTCGGTGGAGTATATTGCTATCGATATCGGAGAACGAAACTGCCTAGTGTTCTAACAGGAGCGCAGACTACGTAGAAACACCGAAGTCAAACCGTCCGGTTATATATATTTTTTCTTTCTTTCGATGGGGCCGTGCACTACGTTTTTAACAAAAGCAGGGCGAAAAATAATAAAAAGGGGGGGGGGGGGGGGGGGGGGGGGGGACGGAAGGTACAACCTACAAGATTTCAAAAGTTGGAGTTTTGTATCGCACGTCTAAACTTTTTTCTTATTATTTTCACCGAAAAAAAAAAAAAAAATCTAAGTCGATTGTTTAGCTTTTGCCCAAGCCGCTAGCGGATACGAAATACCAGAGCCCGTTTAAAAATTAACGCCATTCAAAAAAAAAAAAAAAAAAAAAGTGCAAGCGATTTTTTTTTTTTAATTTCCAGTAAAAAAAAAAAAAAAAAAAAGAATTGCAGCCAACGAAGCCTACGAATACATGTAGACGAATTTCCGCCTGCCGACTCATCTCCCCGTTGAAGATTTTCAAAAATCGCTCGTATAGTCAGGCATATCGTCCCAACTTCTAGCGCTACATTTGGACCGAAACAGCGTTCGACGATGCGCATATACTGTTTATTTTCGCAGTAAGAAAAACCACACTTTTATTTTTTTCCTCTTCCAAGACACCCGGTATACAACGGCGACGAGTAATCACTCCCATTCGTCTATATGGAAGCTTGCCAAGTGTATATACCACCACAGAGCATGCGGACGTCCCCACCGCCCCCAATCCTGGAGCCAACGCCTCCTAAAAAATACACACTCGTTTCGGAACGTCTGCCAAAGTCGTCGCTCCCCGAGTTACTCAAGCGAGCCGCGTTCGTGCTGGCAAGATCGTCATCACCCGGACAGATGACAGGCGACCGAGCGCCAGCTGCACGGAAGACAGACTGCCCGAACTTTTTTGACTTGCTGACGACTCGACCACCGTGGCCTTGCAGTTCATACCCTGATGATATGCAGCAGTTTTCGTATGTCCACACAACAGCGTTTTCTCGGGGTTTGGAGTCCTGGCGTAAGCAGACGTAAGCTTCCGTAACATAACACAACGTAAGCAAGCGGTCATAAGTCAGTGCACTCCCCGACCGTTTTTTTTACCAACCCAAACAAATTGCATCTTCTGGCCACCCCGACTTAAGTCTCCGCGGTATGCTATTTATTTTCTCGGAATTCAAAAGAGAAATTGAGAAAACCGTTAATTAATGAAGATGATGCCGAAACCAGCACTAAAATTTCCGCGCGCCCTCCAGTGGTGTGACGTCACAAATGGTACATACTTTCAGGTTGTGCAGATAATCTAATAGATCGAGTTTTTTTTTTTTTTTTTTTTTTTTTTGCGTGCTTCTCGGTGAATTAGTTACCAAGCATTCTTTTCCCGCCATCAAACGTCTTGTAATCAGTTGGGAACATGGCTTACTGCCAATTCAGTACCATTCCTGTCGTCACACTTTAATGTTGCCAGTAGGGGCTCCCGGTTTGAGAAACACGATGAAAACGAAATTCGAAAATTAAATAACTTCGCGTAATATTTTTCTTTCCACACAATACTTGGGCAACTTGTACAGTCATGTGTCTCAGTGTGTTTGAGCCAACTTTGAGGCAAATCAGCAACCATGAAAAAAATCGCAGGAGTACCCCCACCGGTGGCAGGGGGACACACTCTCTCTCCCTCTCTTGCCCCGCCCCCCCCCCCCACCCCCCCCCCCCCCCCCCCCCCCCTCCCCTGCTCGTCAAAATCCGAGACCCCTCTGACTTCATGCACTGGGTCACGGCCGCTGGATCTTCCTCTGGGTGTAGTGTACGAACTGGCCTCTCGAACAGCTACAGAAGTGCACGTGCAGCGAGCTTTTTTGACTGCATAGGAACAAGAAAGCTGTCCAAGAGTATAGTGTAGCCAACATGACTGCACGTAATCCAAGTAACAAGGGTATTATTAGTCTGCACCTGGCGTACTAACAGTTCTTTGTCTTTGCAGTTCTTCCGCCACGTCCATTGCAGTTCTTTGAACCACATGTGGCTCTACCGAAAAGCTTCTAAAAAAAAAAAAAAACATAAAAAGAAGAAACTCAGCGAGTTCTCTTTCTTGCACAACACGGGTGCAGCCAATCACGGCAAATAATAGAGGGATTTCAGTGAATAACGAAGCTACTGGCGATTTTTACCACGTGCTTTTGGACCTACTTTCGCGGCTTCGTCTGTAGACCACCAGGCGGTGTGAATATCTCATTTGCTCGAGAAGGCTGGCGAGCGAACCTGCCGCAACAGCTTTCTGTTATCGCCGCCAGGAGCCGTCGATTTCGCTGAAGTCGTATCGAATGCCCCTAGCAGGCGTTAGTTGCCTCCTGCCGTGTTCTGGCTGCGCATGCGCGCTCAAGGCCCACGAGACACTGAAGGCGGGACAAACGGAAAGACCTCGTCGCCGTTCTCATGACGTCAGTGACTTCAAGAATACGACTGTTTATTTATTTCATTTATTTATTTATTTATTGGGATTACCTGCATCGCCTTGGAGGCATTATTGCAAAGAGAGGTTATAAAAAAAAAAAAAAAAAAAAAACATTTCAGATGAAAATGCAGAGGGAAACACATTTTCATTAAAGGAGTCCTGAAACGCTTTTCCAACTTTTTTGTGTTTAGCTTTCCTCGTCAACTCATAAATCGCTCATTCTACCAAACAGTACAAGAAGAGGGAAAGGGGGAGTCCCGTTGGTGTCACTCCCGGAGTGCTGTGTGCAAAAGATACGCTTTGGACCTCATCCCTGCTCGTTGTGTGCTTCGTGCGATGCACTGTGAGGCGATCGCGTCTACATCTACGGTCTCGACATCGGCAGCAGCGTCTACATATACGGCGGTTTCCGCAGGCAAACGTGGCCACCTATGCAAGTACACCGCAGCATCCTTAAATTTCGGCGCCCATTTTTTGGTCTATATGTGTTCAAAGGAGCAGTATGACATCGAACATACCAATATCTTGTTAAAAAAAGTCTCGAAAAGGAATTTTAAAACGAATTAAACGATTAGCAGAGAGCACCTGGTGAATGTCGCTAACGCCTCGCTTGTAATGCCCGTCTAGGAACCTTGACAGCTAGTGACGGAGTGTGTCTCGCCTCCGGCCACGACGAGAGAAGGGGGGAAGGAGGAACTCCCCTCTTCCCGAGAATGCCTTTTGTGTGTCGCAGAAGTCGCTATTGTCCCCCTACAAAGATTATAGAAGATTAACCCGTCACTCAAAATTCGTACAAAAGCAGCCGCTTCGATGGCTGAAACGACTAGGCCATCCTCTCGACGTCAGCCTCGCCGTAGCTTTGCTCGTCCCGAGACGACCTACGTCACGATTGCGTTGGATGTCACGGGGTCTCCATGGGCGTCCGCAGAACTTTTACCAGGGGGGTGCACACTTATCCCCCCCCCCCCCCCCCCGCTTCACGGGAATGTTAGCTATGTGGCTATTTTCAGCACGTTTCCACGTTACTCTTTCCCTGCTTTCACGGCTGCGCCCTGGATTTTGGACTACACACCCGTTGA